AACATGCTAGTAACATGCTAATCATGCTAACAACATGCTAGTAATTTGCTAATCATGCTAGAAGCATGCTACGAACATGATAGTAACATCGACCTTTAAACTTCTTAAACTTTTCAAACTTTTTTAAACTTTCTGGTACGGCTTTCTCAAGCCAACTTAAAGTTTGTCTCAATACCTAGTTTTCTATAGTTTCTTTAAAAATGATTTGCATGCATCAGTCTTATTGGTATTAAATCTGGTCTGATGGATTAAAAATCACACGAGAGAGTTATCAGATGAAGAGTAACAGGATAAGGATCGGGACGTGAAAGTGCAGTGGTTTTATTTATTTATTGTGAAATAACATGTAGATTTGTGTTTATAATCAAAGTGCAGAGTTCCCAAGTCAAGAACCCAATAGCATCTGTAGGTTCAACACAACAGTTGGGGCTTGAGCACTGTCCAATCAAATGTAGGATGCAGTTTCACTCATTTAGTGTATGTAGGACTTTCACATTCACCATTAATGCAGTTTTGTGGAAGCCTATTGCATATATCAAATATATAATAATCGTTCATGACTCACCAGTATAGAATATGTAAGTCTTTTGTTTTCTATAGTCGCATCTTTATCAGTAGCTGTCACACTGAGCACAACTGAACCCACAGCCGTCGCCTGGAATGAAAGACACGGTTTAGTAAGAGATGCGAGGGAACTCAGAGACCAAACACACTACAGCTGTATAGAGATGTGAGAATACACACACCTCTGACACTGTGGCGCTGTATGATTTGCTCTGGAAGATCGGAGGGTTGTCATTGACATCCAGAATGTATAGTGCCCGGACGTTTTTCGGCTGAAATGGAAAATGAAGACTCTATAGTCAAGGTTTATTTGCTGAATCTTTAATTCTAAAATACATGGTCTTATTTAATGATTTATGATGTTATTGTTTAAATGAACATACCCCTCTTAAGCAGGTGACGGAATAATACAAAGCATCTGCAGACTAGAAGACATGACACATACAAAGAGACAAATGAACAAAATACAATGCAATACTATCTAACTATAGGCACTTGATCAGTGAGGGTGGAACAAACCATCTTTATTTCCTCAGCATCCAGTGGTTTGATGGTCCGTACAGTAGCGGTTGAGTCTCCGTCAGAGTAAACCAGCTCCACATATTTCATAGCAACGGCACCGAGATGTGGCTCCAGAACCAGACGAACATCCGGTCTGATATTAGTGATCATCTCTATATCTCCTGTAAGCCATATCAAATACACATTTAAATGAAATGATTATATTATATTATATGTATTATGTGGGCATATCTCACCTTCATATCCCTCCTCGGTATTGCCTAGAGTGATACTACTTCCACTTACACAGTTGACCTCTGTAGAACCTTAAACAACAAGTAATTGGTTTCAGGGCTTAACAAACAGCAAGCAGATTCAGTTCAGTAGCACACACAATGCTAATATATGCAGGATATTGAAAATCAAGACAAATTGAGCATTCATTTTAAAAATACTACTACAGAAACTGTGGCATGGCTCAGCTGCTGTTCTCTTTACTTCAATAGATAGATAGATGGATGGATGGATGGATGGACGGACGGATGGATAGATAGATGGATAGAAAATTGACTTACCAATAGCACTCCTTACACTGTCAACATGCAGACAAGCTAAAATAATTAAAACAGAGAATAAGGCCATATTTTCCATAATTCACTGTCAGTGCAGCTTGTATCGTGAAGTCTGGATGTGAAGAGAATGACTATCCTTGTGTAATATATATATAAATCTTTCTGAGCTGTTATTTATTGTATGCCATAAACAGTTATGGCCTCTACTGTAAGCAGGTCTCGAAGGTGCTTGATAGAGTCCAATAATGCAAGATTGACAGCATATGTCACTTGAGTGACTGGAAAGAGGATATTTGACATTTTGAACATTTGTAACTGAACTTGACTTAATCTTGTTCTGCTACTCATTCATTGGTTTCAATCACTAAGGTCTACTCTTGCTTGTTATTATACAGCCCTCTGGAATACTTCACTCTGATTGGACAGACGCAACACTCTAATGTGAATTGACCGCTTACGTTTATATCTGGCCACTGTCCAGCAACCAATTTCATGCGCTGTGCATTATATCTTTCGCATCACTCTGCGCTCTGTTTCTTGTCACATAATGGAATAATTTAAAGTCAAATCAGTATTTCACAGCCATTTATTAATGATTTGTTAAATTGGCAAGAGCAATAATAATAAGAAAGAACAGTCAACTGTTCATTATAGTAAAATAAACCCCTTTAGGGTGATACAAGTTTGTGTCTGGGATGTGCCCATCATGTCAGGCTTTATTTTGCAATAATGAATGGTTATTATTATTTCCTCAAGGGATTTTTCCTTCCTTGATAATTAAATCTGATAACATTTATGCTGGAGTTTGGCCTGCAACTGAACAGGCTGTAAAGATCCATGACAACAATGAATAATTCACACCCTGCACTGCCGGGAACTCCATGAGATTTTTAAACATATGCCTTTTTCTATTTTGCTACTGCCAACACGGTAAAGGCTTTATCTTATCACAGCTTAGCAGTGATCTTTGTTCATCAGAACTAATCAGTGTTGGGAAGGTTACTTTGGAAATATAATAGGCCACAGATTACAAGTTACCCTATTTAAAATGTAATATGTTGTGTAATTTCAATTTCTGTTAAAGTAATAACAGTAAAGTAAAGTAACTGTTAAAGTTAAAGTAATGTAACTCATTATGTTTGATTACTTTTTGATTACTTCTTTAAATTTCTAATGTTTTCAACTGTTATTAATTTGCAAACATTTAAACCAATGTGCCATATTCCGCGTCTTGTGAATGCACAAATTAACTTTGAATGATGAACACTTTAACTCACTCAGTATAGAGAGTTTGAGTATATTGAAAATAGTTATTTTCAAATTAATTCAATGAAAACAGCAATCAAA